GAACGCAAGGCCACACAAGGTGGATGGGAGAGTTGTGGAACCAAAGAGGGCTGTCTCAAGAGAAGTGAGTAATAATTTTTTTTCTTTCTCTGACGATTTAGAACTGTGCCACTAGGTGGACTTCAATTTTGTGGTCTTAACACACTTTAATGATCTTTATCAGGGATGCCTTTGCTGATGTAAGTAACTTAATTGGGTTTTTTCAAATACTAGGATTCTCAAAGACCTGGTGCCCACTTAACTGTGAAAAAGATTTTTGTTGGTGGCATTAAAGAAGACACTGAAGAACATCATCTAAGAGATTATTTTGAACAGTATGGGAAAATTGAAGTGATCGAGATCATGACTGACCGGGGCAGTGGCAAAAAGAGAGGTTTTGCTTTTGTAACATTTGATGACCATGACTCTGTAGACAAGATTGTCAGTAAGTATCAGGGGCATGCTCTTTGCTAAGGGCTCTGAAGTCCGTGTTACATTCTAAACTCTGAGATGGTGTTCTTTTGATAATTTTTTAGTTCAAAAATACCATACTGTGAATGGCCACAACTGTGAAGTAAGGAAAGCCCTATCTAAGCAAGAGATGGCTAGTGCTTCATCCAGCCAAAGAGGTGGGTTTATTTGATTATAATCAGTATAGATAGCTAAGCAATTTCAATCTGTATGATTTAACATTTAAAACTTATCTTTTAAGGTCGAAGTGGTTCTGGAAACTTTGGTGGTGGTCGTGGAGGTGGTTTTGGTGGGAATGACAACTTTGGTCGTGGAGGGAACTTCAGTGGTCGAGGTATGTGTGGTTATAGCCTACCACTAAGAATAGTAGGCTTGTAGTTTGATTATCCCCAGATGATTTATCCTCTTTGCAACCTGTAGTAGATGCAGCTACTGGCCAACATTTCCAGAGTTAAATTTTATCCAAATGTAGTTTTGACTTTCTCACTAACCAGGTTAAATCTTGAGTATAAAAACAATTTTTGTAATGCAGGAATTTTTAAAAGATTTAGGTCGAGAAGGGTAAAAACAATGTATAATCTATGTACTTCAAAAAGTGGTATAAAATTCTCTCTTCCAGGTGGCTTTGGTGGCAGTCGAGGTGGTGGTGGATATGGTGGCAGTGGGGATGGCTATAACGGATTTGGTAATGATGGTAAGTTGAAGGAGTTCACAGGTGAAATTTCTTTTGGCAACCTTTAGACTAGGTTAGTAAACTAGTGCATGACAAGCTCAGCTCTGATAACAGCATGCTGTGTGCAGGCTTTTAGGCATTACACTTGCACAGGTTTTGATTGTTGAATACTTTTGTCTTATTGAGAAGAATTGTATTCTTGTAGGTGGTTATGGAGGAGGCGGCCCTGGTTACTCTGGAGGAAGCAGAGGCTATGGAAGTGGTGGACAGGGTTATGGAAACCAGGGCAGTGGCTATGGCGGGAGTGGCAGCTATGACAGCTATAACAACGGAGGAGGCGGAGGCGGCTATGGCGGTGGTAGTGGTAGGTATCCAGTGACCCAAGTACTCGGTGCAACAGCTAGATTAGCCCTTGAGAGTTTATGCCCGTAAGGGGATTTGATGCTCTTAAAAGCATTATGTGGTACAATGCATGGTATTCTTTTTTAATGGGCTTGCTAATGCTACCTCCTCCTAGCTTTAAGCTGGGGCCGCCTCACTCCCAAATTAGCTAGATGGATAAGTGGATAGCGGTGTCTTTAATCAGAATTAGTTTCCAGCAGGATTTAGTATCTTAACTTCTTTGGATCTTAGGCACGTAGTGGATATATCCAGCATGTGTTTGCAGTGCCTTGGATGGGTAGAGGCTTTCAAGGCTAAACAGCATATTTGCTGTTATGCCACGGTGCATTGGATAAATCTTTTTAAAGTACTGGATTATTCATCTCAGTGCCTTGCCCAGAAAAGGATGAAATAGTTAAACTTCGGAGCTACCAGAGTTTGGGAGGAAGGCAAGCAGAACATGCAGCTTTTTTTTTTTTTTTTTTTTTTTTTTTGCTCTGAGCACTAAATAAAATTCAGAACTACCATCTTCAAGTAACAGATAAAGGTCCTCTTTCCATTCTTAGGAAGCAACTTTGGAGGTGGCGGAAGCTATAATGATTTTGGCAATTACAACAATCAATCCTCAAATTTTGGACCCATGAAAGGAGGAAATTTTGGAGGCAGAAGCTCTGGCCCCTATGGTGGTGGAGGCCAATACTTTGCCAAACCACGAAACCAAGGTATTGTATACATGCACTGTTGGAATGCTAGGTGTCTCTAGCTAGTTCCAGTAAAAAATACGTTAATTTTTAGGTAATGTCTGTATAGATAGTGAAACGCTGATGATTTAAAGCTTTTAGGAAATTTTAAGTGACCGGGTAATTTGCAATCAAATTGGGAAAGTCATGTGAGCTCAAACTCTAGAAAATTTGAACTTTGATTGCCCCCCCTGTATAGAAAGTCTTACTGTTGGCACTTCCAAAGCTTCAAAGGAACAAATTGTGTTTTTAGGTGGCTATGGTGGTTCCAGCAGCAGCAGTAGCTATGGCAGTGGCAGAAGGTTTTAATTACTGCCAGGTAAGTAAACACCTTTTTATGTTTTAAGTTAATTTTTGTAAATGATAATGAAACCCAGTAACCCTAATGTAGCTGAGCAGTGCAACATAGTTAACATTATAATTGCAGTAAAATTTTGGATATTAAGTTAATATTCAGATCAGCAAAATTTGTGGGAAACAAAACTTGCTATTGGATTGTAGCTTTGAGTCTTAATATGTTTAGATTAACAACTTTATTCCATATTGTTCAACAGGAAACAAAGCTTAGCAGGAGAGGAGAGCCAGAGAAGTGACAGGGAAGCTACAGGTTACAACAGATTTGTGAACTCAGCCAAGCACAGTGGTGGCAGGGCCTAGCTGCTACAAAGAAGACATGTTTTAGACAATACTCATGTGTATGGGCAAAAAACTCGAGGACTGTATTTGTGACTAATTGTATAACAGGTTATTTTAGTTTCTGTTCTGTGGAAAGTGTAAAGCATTCCAACAAAGGGTTTTAATGTAGATTTTTTTTTTTTTGCACCCATGCTGTTGATTGCTAAATGTAATAGTCTGATCATGACGCTGAATAAATGTGTCTTTTTTTAAATGTGCTGTGTAAAGTTAGTCTACTCTGAAGCCATCTTGGTATACTACCCCAACAGTGTGAAGTTAGAATTCCTTCAGGGTGATGCCAGGTTCCATTCGAAATTGATTTGCAACCTGCTTGGGCACAGACGCCATTGTCTCCACAAACCTTGGTGTAGTTGAACTGACAGTTAATGTGTTGTGACCTGGAGTTCACCATTAAAAGGGTCACCCAAGCAAAGTCCTGGAGTTTATTTGGTTATTAATATGATTGTTGGCACATCCTATGCAATATATCTAAATTGAATTATGGTATCAGATAAAATTATAGATGGGATTAAAGCTTGTGTATCATCCATTATCATGTGTAATCAATAAACGATTTAATATTCTCTTGAATGGAATGACAACTGTATGGATTTGGGACTGGCAGAGCTTTGGACTTCCCTACCCACTACCCCTCATAATGTTGAATGCTTCTATCACGATTCAAGTTCAAAACTCTGCCAGAGAATAGAAACCAGCTGCTGGCTAATGCCACCCCATAAGTGCACAGATTAGAAGTGTTTGGGAGACCTTTTTAAACTGACCAGCACCAGTAAGAATATCTTATTTTTAATACAAAAACAGGCTTACATTAAAGGAAAACAGCAGTTTTACTTTGTTCTGGTGGGTGGGTCCTTAATAGAGGTTTATAGATTAATCATACTATTGAACCTATTTGGACATTAAAATTACGGAGATGGTGAGGAACCTTATTATATTCATGTTAACTGCAGTTTTCCTTTAAATATGGTACATCACACAACCATCCTAAAATGTTAATTGTATAGAAAATGATTTCTCTAAAGCCTTTTACAGTTACTTAATATCCAATCATTGTTATTTGTTACATAGGTTCTTGAGCCCTCCCTTTGGTACCCTCAATTTCAGTGCCATTGTACTTGATTAGCATAGAAAATTGTTTATCACTAGGACTGTGTATTCCATCCCATGGGTGTGTTACTTGGAAGTTTGGGGAGGAGGGTGGGCAGGGAGTGGGGGGGGAGGTGGGTGGGAAAGCATGGTTGATAGTTCCATGAGTTTGATATTGGCTGAGTTTGCAATGGCAGGTGGAACCTTAACTATTGAGGGAGTTTGCAGATACCTCAGGATTCGTGACAATGCCTTTAAAGATCCAGGAGAGATGTTCAGCTACTAGGAACTGCTAGCAAGTATAGCGCGAATGGCTCCGAGCTCAGACACTCTACAGCTGAGAGTAGACACTTGTGGTATGTGGAGTACAGATAAGCCAGGGGCAGGCCACGGCACGCTCCATGAAAGCTAGGAGGGAGTGAAGTTTCAGTGACCATCGCAAGAAAGGAGGCAGACAAGAGTAAGGCACACCTGACTCTTAGGACTAGCAGTCAGAACCAGGAGGAAAGGTTTTATTGCTATGCTGGTAGGTAAGAACAGATTTTACTTACATCCATATAGTGTTACCTAAAATCCAATTTTCTGTTACATTATCCTTAATATATTGAGCCAAAACTAGTCCAGTTAAGCTGAACTTGGTTTTTCTGGAGATCAATTGTTTTAAATTGACACCCTAGACTTGGCTCCCAAATGAAGTGAACACTAATTCTGTGACAATATATTTTTGCCCTTTAATTTTATTTGCTACCTTCCTTTAACCCATTTCCTTAAAACAATGGCTCAAAGTAATGCATTAGAATCTTCCCCAAAACATGGTGGGAGGGAAGGGTGGATCATTAGTTTGGGGGGGTGGGGGATTTACCCTGAGCTGGGACTTGGTCTCAGAAAAGCTAGTTCTAAAGGTTGTTTACTTTTCTAGGGAGGAGTCTGCTACTCCAGGCTAATCAACTCTCTTTAAAAAAAAAAAAAAAAAACAAAAACAAAAAAATCAGAAATTCATCTGTCCAAATTTATGGCTAAAAGGTAAGCTATTTACGAACTTCATGATCAGCAAGAGTGCTTGGTATTGCCCAAGTAAAGAATGGCAAGCTGTGCCTGAGAACCAAAAAAAATGAGATAGTCTACCTTAGCCAGCAAAATGTCTTAAAGTAACTGGGTTCCCAGTAAACAGAATGAGTATAATTGTAGGATCTTTGAAGTGCATATGTAAAACACTTCCTAACTTTTTTTTTTCTTTCTTGCAGCAACATCCTTAATGAGGACAACCTTTATCCGAGCCACTGCACCTCATTTTCACTGCCATGCAGTTGTTAGCTGCTATGCAGCTTAAATTATTCAGTTTTATGAATGGACTTTTTTAAATAAAATGCTTTTAACTTGGTTCTGGTGTGGTTTTTTTTCCCTTCATGATAACGGTAGGTCGGAATTTTTTAGCAGAGTTGAAAGTCTGTCCCTTTTCATTCCTTATTCATGCTTCCTTGGATCCTTCTAAAGGAACAAGTTAGACTTCAGGTATGTTAAGAAAGGTGGGACATTTAACATGTTAAGATTAGGTTGTTGGGAGTGGTTCTTTCCATCCCACCCTTCCCCAAACTAAAAAATGAATGATATTTAGCTTTTTGGAGTACAAGTGGTAATACCATGTATTAATATGTAAAAGTTATCCCATCAGCAGCATGGTCTAGTGAAATCAAACTGGCTCTTGCTGTAGGATTAAATCTTGGCCCATCACTTTAAAGCTGTTTATAATTGTTCTGCAAGTATTTATTGCCAGCTATTTCTGGCTTCCAAAAAATCTGGAACCAGGTTAAGATGAATATGGAGGGGAAGATCAAGTTTTTCAAAAGTGACGCAAAAATTTGGGAGCAATAATTAACCCCCTAGCAAATGCTTAAACTTTACCGCCTTCGAGAAAAGATCCGGCCTTGATTTTCAAACTAGTAAAAGGGGTAGAGAGGTGTAAATGTATGGGTCAGTCTTTATTGCTATGATTTTAAGAATCTCATTTGTGGCTTGGAGTTACTAGAACAGGTTTCTCTCAATCCTGGTTTAGAAGGACAGGACAACACAGGCCACCGGGTACTAAATACAGCTATTGAAGAAAATGACGTTCTGCTTCTATCATTCTGTGTACTTCACAACATGCTTTACAAATAGAAGGTTGCTAGTTAAGCTAACTTTTTAGATGAAGATGACCTGTTTAAAGTTTTTGAATCTGAAACAATCCAAATCATGCTCCAAAGCTGTTCCACCTTTCGCTTTAGTTAGGTACACACCAAGTAATGTACTACAATAGATCTGACTTCAGGAGAGGGGGGCATTTCTCCCCATCTTTATCTCCAGTGCCTAGGACAATACTAGAACTTAGGTGCTCAAGTGTTGGATAAATGTCTAAATTTGCCTCTGAATTACCACTTTTGGGAGCTTGCTTAAAAGTGAAAAAAAACTGCCTGATGTCTTTTAGGTGAACTAATCAAGTTGCTGAACAGCTAATCCCGGGCACTGCCCTTTACAACTTGATCCTGCATTTTCAATTTTTTGAGAAAGTTCACAAGTTGTCTGAACTGTTTTCAGATCTATTAGGAATCAGAAGCCTTAAATTGCTTTCATTCCCCAACCTAGCTTAGAGACCACGTTTCTGAGAATCTGTAAGCATGAAGACTACACCTTTGATCATTGTCCGCTTTTCATGTCTCACAACTGAGTGTCTTATCAGAACTTGAAAGTAGGAGTACGTTTTCCTTGTTGGAATGGAGCTACTAAAGTTGAGTAGAAGTATAAATAGAAGTAAAATACCCCAAAGAGGTAATTTGTGTAATCCAGTGACTGGAAAGATAGGAACCACCCAACTCCATTCAAGGAGATGGTGTAATGTGAGAGAAGTTTGATTGGAGTTTGATGTGATAAAGGATTCTAGAACTTAAATCGTGTTCTACTTAAGGAAAAAAAAGACCCTAGATCTTTGAGGATCTAGAAAAGGGAGGCGCCAAAACGATTGGATAGTGTGTCTAATGTAACCAAGGAGACAAAAGTTCCCAAAAGGCATAACCTACTCCTCGGGGAGCAGGATTTACCCAGACTTGGGTATGAAGTCCCTTGAAACTATGCTGTCCAATCAAATTCTCTCAAATCAAGAGCATCTCAGACTTTGAGAGCTCTGGCACATCAGGATGAGGAAATCCAATAGAAGTAGGCAGGATGGAGAGAACAGAAAAAAGACCTATGGGCATTCTAGACTTTTCTGTGCTCCACAGACAGGAGAGGTCTGAACCTCAGGGACCTTGCACAGAGGGTGTAGCCAGCGTTGGCAGCAATCCCCACTCTATAAATAGTGGGCCCCCCGGGAGGGTGGGATTCCTCAGGTCATCCATGACCTCTGGCTCTGAAAAAGGAGATGAAGGTGATAGATCACACTGCTCAAGCCCAAATTTTTTGCATACCTCTGTCATACAGAGCTGCAGGAGAAAGAAATGAGCTTGGCAGGATTCCTTCCCCACCACTAACAAGCACTGAACTCAGTACTCGGCTTCATCACCCTCTCTTGAGAAGGAAGACACAGTGGAAGGCTGTGTAGAGCGCTTTATATACCAAAGCTCAAACGAGGTGGAGGTTGGAGACCTAGGAAGCTGAATCACAGAAAAGAGATTCCAGCCCTCCCCTCATACACTTGTCTCAAGGCAAGCCTTACTGAATACACCTTGGACCCTCCAAATGCCAGGTTTCCCATTGTCCCCTTCTGGTCTAGAGAACCCAGCTTCTTCTGGGGAGTACCTTTATCAGAAGGGAATAAAGGAAATCTCCATCACCAGTCCCACCCCTCCGGGCCAGCTTAGTCTGTGGCCTCCATCTTGGTACCCCGGGGCACCAGGAAGATGGCCCCATCAGCAGCCTGTTGCAGAGCATACTCTTCAGGGGAATAGCTGTTGCCTGCTTCATCCCGCAGGTGCTGGAAAATGTCACAGTACAGCTCTGTCAGCTGTTGGCGCATGACCTCCAGGGTCCGGTCAGCCTCCCCTCTGGCCCGGAGAAGCCGTTCCCGCTCACTGCCCAGCCGCTCCAGTTCCCGCTCCAACTGCACAATGGTCTCCAACTTTCTCTTGCGACAGTTCTGGGCGGCCACCTTGTTCTTGCCCCGCCGTCGGATGTCCCGGACTAATGCCAGCTGGCTCTCCGTCAGTGGGTACCGTGCCAACAGCTCATTAAAGTCATCTACCGGCAAGTTGACAATCTTGTCCGTCGGGAAGGGAATCTTCATGGCCAGGGCCCGACGCTCATCCCGACTTCCCGCCTCCCCCCGTGCAGTGGACTTGGCCCGCACAGGGCCTGAGGAGGGTTCTAAGGGGGTCTCTGCAGGTGGCAAGGCATAGTTGGGGTGGGCCAAGGAGTTGGGCATAAGTGAATAGGGGTACTCCACTGGGTACATCTCTACATACTCGCTGCGCCGCCGACCAACCTCTGTCCCCTCCAGCTCAAGAGATTCAGCGTCACTATAGTTGAGGGATAATCCTGAGTCAGATTCTGGGTCTTCTTGGGGCTTGGGGGGCCCCGCTGGCAGCCCAATGTCCAGGAGAGCCAAGGGATCTGGGAGGGGCTCACTGAGCAGGCCCGAGAGGGTCAGTGCCTTGGAGACTGGTATGGCCATGTTGCCATAGGAGTATGAAGGGTCTGGGACATGAGATGTGGGTGCTGGAAGCTCATAAGGTGGTGGAGGAAGGGGGAAGCCAGCATCTGGGTGGATTGAGCAGGGGCAGTAAGTTGGGGGTGGCGGGGGCCCAGGGTATGGGGCTGGGGCTGGGGGCTCAAACGATGGCTCACTTGGAGCATTTAGGCCCTGCAAGGAAAGACACAAAGAGGTTTTGGAGACAGGCTGAAGAGAAACCAGCTCTCTTGCAGGACCAAGCTGGGTCCTTCTGAAAGACACAGTAAGATAACAGGGGAACAGAAAAGTGCTAAAAATCATTCAAAGCTTCCTGTAAGAGTGCAGTGCAGCTATTTCAAGCAGAAAGCAGCTTAAACAGGAATGGAAGTCACTGAGGTCAGACTTCGGAAAGGACTATCTAACGCTGCAACAATATGGAATCTCCTTCTCTTCAGGAGAAGTTCTTACTGGGTTGAAATGGCACTTCTTCCTTTATTTCCTTCAGGAAGACAAGAAGTTGTTATCTATGATGACCGCCCTCCCCCCCAACCCTTTCCTGCTGTGGTTATCTAGGGTCAAAAGGGTCAAGTTCAGACCCTGGCCATGCCCTGCGTGCACAGCAGAGGGAGCTGCTGAGCAGGAGGAGGGCTTAGGGCAGATCATGATGGCCCCGGGCATTGTGGCAGGGAAGAGAAGGGGCGGGGGGCGGCGCAGAGCCAGGTCTGGGGGCTGAGGCACCTTGGGGAGCCAGCATAAACTCTACCCTCTCCTCTTCAGTCCCTCTGTCCCTGCCCAGGTGCGGAGAGGAGGAGAGAACATGCTGGAAACAGGGCCCCCAACTCACATGGAGGAGCCACCGTGCTCCAGCCCAGATGGGGACAAAGGCATCATTGTTAGGCCAACAGACACCCCTTTGTCCAACTAGTAGGAGGCGAGGACCCCGTCATAGTCTGACCCCCCCACCCCGCCTTCTCCAGGCCCCTGAACTACTGCTCTGCTACCTGAGGGAAAGGGGCCCAGCATCTGAGGACAGGGGAGGAAATGAGGGAAGAAGATGGGCAGGATTGGAAGAGAGGGAGTTCCGAAGGAAAGAAGGTGAGAAAAGGAAGGCGGGGCAGGAGGTGGGATAGAGAGATGTGAGCAGAGTGGCTGCTGAGAGAGCTTACACCCCCAATCAGATCCTTCCTTCCCCACCACTACTTTCCCCTGCTCTTCCACACCCTTTTCCCCTTGATATTCTGGTCTTCCATCCAGATCTCCCTCCTACTCCAGCCCTTCCTTTTCCAGTGCCTGGAACATTCCCTGCTTGCTCTAGCCCCCTGCCCCAGTCCCAGCCAGACTCCCTGCTTTTCTGCTCTTTCCCCCAGGTCCCCCCAAATCTGCTCACCTGCAGCTCAGTGATGGACATAATTTCTTGCCAAGTCAGCTCCATCTCGCCCAGCTCCGGAGTGGGCAACTGTGTCACCCTGTCCCTGCTCTGCTGGGGAGGACACGGGGGCATCCTACTGGGCCAGGGCCTGGTCCAGGATCCCCAAAGCACAAAAGGCCCCAGAAACCTGTGTCAAAGGAGAAACAGGTTAAAAATAATAATAGTAATAATAATAATAATAAAACCAGGAGATACAGGTTAAGGCTCCTCCTGCTAGGGGCCAGCAACTTTGTCCTGCCTCCATGGAGAGCTCCCTGCAGCCTCACCTGAGAGAAGGAGAGGCCTCATCCCCCGAATTATGCTGTCCTCATCAACCGACTCCTTAAGCTGCAAAGGCTTTCTCTGCAGTGTGATCTCCACCTCACCTGCTATGGCTGTGGTCAGGTCCTTTGGGAGCACAGTGGGTCCTTACCTTCTTTTTCAGACGAGATGCCTTCCCTTTCCCCTTCTTCTTACTCCCCCAAACTGTATCACTGGCCAGGGCAGAAGTCACATCTTCTGGGGGGGTTTTTCCCCATTTTCTGGGGCAACATCAGGGATCACTCCAGCTTTCCTCCTCTGTCCTCAGTTTTCCTCCTCTGTCTCATCTTCCAAGGTTGAGAATGAGTGCTTGGGGAACCCCAAGGAGCATGTTGTGGGAAGAGCAAAGCAGACAGCCCCTCCCCTTCTCTGAGATATGGCCCAGGCCTGGTGGCTGATAGCAGCTCTGCCTTCTCCTCCTATCCTGACTCTGGGCTCCCCTGCTTGGGCCTGATAAGAGGTTTATCAGCTGGAGGCAGCAGAGGAGGAATGGTCTCTGGAGACACTGGACCTCTGTCCTATGTCCCTGTAGGGTCATCTCGGCCATACCCCAACCCACACAGCCAGGCTTCCAGGGTTCCTAAGGTAATATAACAATCATAGCAAAGACTTATTAAGCACTGTCAAGAACTGTGCTGATGTTTTACAAGCATTAGTTTGAGATTGATTTTCACAAAGATCCTATAAGGTCCATTCAGAAATTGGGACCCAACCTGATCGATGGCAGGCGCAGGTCTGGAAGATATACTAGTTGACCCTGCGAGCCTTTACTGGCCTCTCAGACACCTTGCCAGCCCACTCTTGTGTCTCCATACTCTGAGCCTCTAGTGGTGGTTTACCTCAGTCAGTTCTTTCTGTGGTATCTGTCTCTTTACTTCTGAGGGAATATCTCTTTAGAGCCTTAAAAACACAGTCCCCTTCAGCCCCTCCCCCCCCACCTTTTTTTGATCTGAGCTCTAGCTGCCAGTCAGCCACAGAGCAGCAGTGTGAGGTTGGGCAAGCCATCACCGCTGCTCTGAGCTTCTGTTTCCTCATTTATAAAACCAAGGAGTTGGATAAGTTGAACTCAGAGGTCCCTTTCTCCTCGGGCAGCTTACTGTTCTCAGCAAACCCTCCCCCACCCTGCCGCCTTCATCTTCTCTCTATCTGCCCCTCTCCTCATCCTGCCTCCCTATCCCCTGACACCCATCTCCCTGCACCTGTTCACCCAGCCTTTAACAAGAGATGCCAAGCAGATTTCACAGGGGCTTCCCAATATCTTAGGGCCAGACACAGCACCCCACCCCTACCACATAAGTAAAGGCAGGCAGGCTGGGGGTGGGAGAAACTTATAAAAGGACAGAGGATAGGATGGGATGACCTCATATTGCATGACCTTAGATCACCACAAGGATGGCCTGTCACAGCTATCCAATATGAAATCTACTCTTTGACTTAACCCAAAATTAGTAAGAACTCCAAAGTATCCATTGGAAGGAGGATCTCCCTTAGCCCTTGCCCCCCCACCCTTTGTTATACTGCCATCCCCAGGGCTGGGAGCTGGTGTAGGCACAGGCGCTTGGCCAGTGGGCAAAGTGGGTGGGGTGTTTATGTCTGTCCAGGATGCCATTTCAACACCGGAACCCCACCCTCCCCCACCCAGGTTCTGGAGGAAATTGCCCAAAGGCAAAGTGAATGGAGAAGGGGGTTAGGGGGCAGGGACAATGACTCTTGCCTCATAGTCCTTCACACCACACCGCACCCCCCCCCAACTTTGTCCCTCCTTGCATCTTCCTGGATCTGACTCTTAGGTGCAGTACAACGATCCCGCCCTAGGAGGCAGGCAGGAGACCAGGTTCTCTGGCCTTCCAAATGCGAGACTTCGGGCAAATCACTTCCCCATTCAGTCTCTTCCACTAAATGGAGACAGGACTGCGAGAGGCAGTCACCAACTTGATTGTGCACCGCAGTCACCTGTTGTACTTGTAAAAACATGGGCTCCTGCGAGTCGTCCCAGACCTACTGAATTTTCTTTTCTTTTTTTTTTTTAAAGATTTTGTTTACTTATTTGACAGAGAGAGAGTTAGCGAGAGCAGGAACACAAGCGGGGGAGTGGGAGAGGGAGAAGCAGGCTTCCTGCCAAGCAGGGAGCCCGATGCGGGGCTCGATCCCAGGAGCCTGGGATCATGACCTGAGCCGAAGGCAGACGCTTAACGACTGAGCCACCCAGGCACCCCCAGACCTACTGAATTGAATTCATAGGTGCAGGTACCCAGCAAGCAGCATTTTAACAAGCGCCCTAGTGTTTCTGATGCCAGAGACCCACCCCACCTTGAAAAACGCTAAACTAGTCCAACCATATGTATTTACAGGAAAGAACACAAAGCCAGAAAAGAGCCTGGCAAATGACCTCCAGACTTCTCCTAGCTTCAGACCCAGGCAAAGCTGGGTTCTAAGCTGCCCTGGCCTCTGAGACTAGATATCAGCCCCTTCTCATGCACCTTTGGGACAGGGAAATGAGAATCCAGAAGGGTCCCTGCGGGAGGCAGGAGGCCAGAGAAGAGGGAGTTGATGAGAATCTCTGGATCAGCTCCAACCACCTCTCTGGTGCAGGGGCAAGTTTGCACCAGGCCAAAGAGGAGTAGTATGTTTTTCCCTAGATACTCAGTGGTTGTTGGTGGTCTATCTACCAGGCATAGGCCCCTCTGGGTCTTAGGAGCCTACCTTTCCAGGATGGGCCTGGGGGCCTGGCGCTGGCCACTAGCGGTATAGGAGGGTGTAGTCAGAATTGAGTCAAACAGAACATCACAGAAGATGCAGAAACAACAGATCCTGGGAAAGTAGAGTGGGCCTCCCTGTGTCCCTTTTGCCTTACAACATACAGTTCCCACTTTCCAGTTTAACCTGCACTTTGGGGTCACACAGCCATCTTCCTCCCTACCAACATGTATCAGGTAGGACTGGAGCCATCTCCAGGGACTATAATCCGTCCTCCTGACTCTGATCCTGATGGTCCTACCCAGAAAGCTCTTATCACAGTCTCTGAGTACTCACAGAATGATATAGAGCTTTATATTTAAAGATTCAAAATGAGGACCCTTTGTGGAGGGATGCCTTGACGGGGAGAAAGAGAGAGGGTGCTTGCCTCTGGGATCCTGTTCTGAGGTTGATTAGACCACCCCACCTGTCCAGCTATCAGTAGAAGCAGGGAAGGGATGGGGAGGGATCCACGAAGCCTGGGGTGTGGAGTGGCAGGTGAGCAGGCTATTCAGAAATATTAGGACCAACCCCAAAAGAGGGAGAGACACATAGAGGTGAAATAGAGAAAGAGAACGGAGGAAAAGGGAAGAGAGAGAGAGAGAGTTAATCAGAGTGAGATTTAGTCTCCTGAGGGTATACGTGACTCAAACAGGTGTATGGGAACAAGGGAGAAAGGGACACGTTTATGTTATCCCCATTCGGTCCCTAGAAACCAAACTCCAGTCATCTGAGGGCCAATGACTAGAGAATCCCAGCCCCAGCAGATCTGTTACCTTCCTCTTCTCTTCCACTGCTACCCAGCCTCCTACTTCCCAAGCTGCTAAGATTTCTGGTCTGAAGGAACTGCACTGGGGTAGGACGCCCTCCTCTCCCAGCCAGTTCTAGCTGAGCTCGACTGCCCAGGCCCGGAGATGACAAGGGGCAAAGGAGGCAAGAGCTCAACAGCCCTGCACCCACCACCCCATCCTTCTGCCGTGCTCCCCACCCATCCAGGCATCCAGTGTCTCCAGTTCCTCACCTTCCCCCAAATCCTCCCAGCTGGCCAGACAGGGCAGCAAGATGGAATAGAGTAGGGGAAAGGCTGGTACCATACACTTAAGAGTCTATCGGCTCCCTGGGGGCAGTCCCCTGCTGAAGGGTTACTCAGGGTCACCCCCGGCCCCTCAAAGGTGCCTCAGAGGACCACTGTCTGGTCCCCATCTACGGCCTCTCACCCCAAGAATCTCAGAGTGCTCAATAAGTCATCTAGGTCTTCTCCCAGATGAATTCCCAAAGATGTCAGATTCCTAAACCAGGGGCAGCCTGGGAGGGCCCGAGATCTCCTAGGGATGTGCAGAAAGTTGGTGATTTTCTCGTCTGCCACCTCCACCTCCCCAGCTTGCCGCTTGGATCCCACTGGAATCGCCCACCCACCCCGCCCCTCAGGCACCTGTGGCAGGGTCCGAGCTGGGTGAGGAGAGAGATGTGGCTCCCGGTGCTGTCTCTGGGGAGGCTGGGCCTGCGCTGACACCTCCTGGGTGAGGATCCCTGCTACCTCTGAAAACGGGGGAGGGCTGCGCCCCGCCCCCGGGCCATTACTGAGCGCTGAGTGTGGAGGCTCGGCCTGAGCACGGGGAGCGCCGGGTGGCGCACCAGCCTCCTCTCCGAAGACCTCGGCCTGAGTTCTCTGTCCTTCCTCCAACCCTCCCCTTTCCCCGTGGCCCTCCTCTCCTCCTGCCCCTTCTGGCCAAGAGAGGAAACTTGAGCCCGGTGTGGTTTCTGCCCACACCCCGCCCCCACCTTGCTCCCAGCCAGCGGGGGCACACATGGCTTCCAGCGCCTCCCAGCCCTCCTTTTGAGCCCAGGAGTCCCGCCAGGCCTGCGTTTCTCCTATGCATATGATAAATTCCAACCTGGTAGCCCACTCCAAGGTGACCTCTAAACTTTATACAAGTCTAATCTCCTTCCTTCTGTCCCCTTGACTCTCTTAGGGACAGGGAAACTGAGTCATAGCAAGGTGGATGGCAGCTGAAGATAAGGATCAAATGTCTAGTGTCCCAATTGTTTAGGCAGGTGGGCATTTAGGGCATTGCTTTTACTTCAGGAAAGCCTGGGTTCTGGGAGAGAGGTAGGGGAGCTATTTTGGGGAGGAGGGGCAGTTGCTGCTTTGATGTGTCCTTTCACCTGTAGCCTTCTCCCCTCCCCCAGCAGCCTCAGATGTCCTAGGACAATGGCCTCTTTCTTGGCCAGGTTTGTTGTCAGTGTGTGAGGGGAGTTAGGTGTGCACGGGGGTGCCCAGCAGGGACAGTATTCACCTCTGTTAAAGGGGGCCCTGGGTGCCCTTTGTCCTCCTTTCTTTCAGGCAGGGCACCCCAAACACATGGCAGCTGTGTTTCTCTGGACAGGCCAGCACATGTGTGTAGGATATCAGGTTTATCCCCCAGCACCCACAGCAGCTCTTTCTCAGGCCAGTAAGTACCCCCAGAAGTCACTCCATCATCCCTCGACCTCCAACACACAACCCAAGACCCAGGCCAAACAGATCTCTCTCCAGAGACCAGAGGAGTCTTGCTTCCTCCTAGCTTCCTTTTAGTGACTCTCAACTGTAAGGAAAGTCCTTCCCATGTCTAGCTCCAGTCCTTACAGCTGCAGCTTAGACTTTTTCTCTATTTTTTCTTACAATAGTTCAAGTTCTATTGGAAACAATTAAAGATGGGGAGGCAGATGGGTGCCACCCCAAGGCAAAGCTGGCACACAGCCAACATCCTCTGATAGGATCATGTTCACTGTTCAGATATTGAAAATATTCTGTCCCGGTTGATAAAGAATAGCTGCTGGGAGTCCTCCTCCAAGTGTTCCCCGCCCTGACACCTCTACATCAGCACCCCAGTTCTCCCTTGGGACCTTCCACAACTAGCAACACAACCAAGCAACTCAAGAGGCAGTTTGATACAGCTTCCTTGCAGCTTGTGCCTGGGCGGTGTGTGTGTGGGGGGGATTGATCAACCCCCACATCAAACCCATGGTTAAACACTTTGGATTTCAGCTCTATCCCAGGAGATCATGATTCTATATGCATGATCTATGTAGGACAAGAGGGGACCCATGGCTCCATGACACATTACTTGTGGGTCCAGAATCTCTTGATGACCTGGGCATGAATCTGGGTCACATACCTGGCATCT